TTTTTCAGCAATCTCTTTGCTGGTGTAGAGGAATCCAACTGATTTTTGGATGTTGATCTTATATCCTGCGACTTTGCTAAATCCCTTAAAAATAAAACTATCAAATGAAAACAATGGCTATGACAAACATACATGTATAAATACAAAACCTACCCTTGCTCCATCTTCTACATTTCCACTTTCTCCCAAGTGAATCAAATGGGACAGTCTCCTCCATAGTGAAAGTTCACAATTAAAACAATATTTATTTTAACTCAACGACTTTTTCTTCCCTTCAATTATAACCCTCCAAGAAATTCCTGCAGCATTCAAATCCATACGATCTTTTATTAAATGTCCATCACCACAAAACCCCAACATGGGAACTACTATACTAACACCAAATAACTCAGAGTGAAAATAATGTCCACTAAATGCAGATATCAACATGGAAATCTGAAAAAATAGAATCCTGCTTTCATTACCTCTCTTTCCTCTTGTTCACTTTGCAAGAGAAATCAATGGCCCAGGGGCAGCAAAACAGTACAGTAATATCTATCGCCAGCTTCTCTCACACAACAATAAATACCCAACAGGACCCTGAAAAATTATGAAACTTATGTTTAGTCAAGAAGAAATTAAAAACCATATACCTATATCAATTCCTCTTCGGAGAGCACTTTTGTCAGAGTCCTGGTGACCAATTAGATCTTCTACCCAGTGAATATAGTTGAGTCTCAAAGGAACAGTGGGAATTAGTCTCTCTAATGGAATATCAATAGAAAGTCCAAAATCTTCCCTTAGGAGAGTACAAGTCAGAGCTCTGACTGCTTCAGGGTCTTTAAAATTTAAACTGAAGGAAAGAGAAAAAGAAGCAAAACTGATTAGTAAGATTTATCATGCTGTATAAATCTCTACAGCAACCAGGCAATACCAAACACTCACTTGAATGTCCTCAAGCAGTCATACATAAATAACTATGTAGAGCGTTCAGCAAAGTGGCATACCCATGGAGGTTCAACACTGTCACAGCAGATGAAAGGCAGTATAATTTTTCACCAAAAACATTACATTTACATACATGCAACACAGAGGTTAAGATTGCCTCTGTTCAAATTCCTGCCTGACTGCCTCTTCAATAGCTATGTGACCTTGGACAAGTTATTTAACCTCTCTGAGCCTGTTTGCTCATCAGTAAAATGGGGATAATAGCATCTACCTCATATCACTGCTGTGAGATATTCTGTGTACTTAGCACAATGTCTAGTACATAGTAACTATTTTGTAATTACTAGTTATTTTTATTATTATCATTAATATCATTTGACATTAGCTTTCCTAATAAAAATCCTAAAATTTACCTAATAAAAATTTTTCTTAGTAAAACTTCACACTAAAAGTGTAAAGAGAACAGTATAAAAATATTTTTAAAAAGGACAAAAATACTTAGATATGACAGAATAAATATTACAGACACCAAATTTAAAATGAAACTATTTTTAACAGCTTTACTGAGGTACGATTTATATACTATAAAATTCATCTGTTAAATACACAGTTCAGCAGTTTTTAGTATTGTGGTGAATTAAGTTCTCTTTTAAGTGCACTTTGCCTTGGTTCTTTGGAAAAACAGCTTGAGAGATTTTCCCCCTAAACTACCAGGAGTTACCTTTGCCCTAGTTGTCTACCCCAAAGGATTTGTTACTTTTGTCCAAGTGGAATGACATTTCCTTATTAACTGTAAACAACTTGTGGTTTGATACTTTTTGTTTGGTCCTGGGCTACAGCCTGCCTGGTGATTGGTATGCACCTTGCAGGGACTGGTTAATAGACTGCAAACAAATGTTTGTAGCCTACTATGCATATGAAGTTATCTGTCACCTAGCAAGAGGGGATTGGTCAGTTTGTGGCCCCTGCTGGGAAAGGCTATGTTTTGAAATTGACAAGGAGTTGTATATACATGCAGTCAACCCCACAGAGGTTTTCTAGCCAGAAAGCAAAGCCACAAGCAGCAGCAGGGAGAGAGAGAAGGCAAGGAACCACCACAAAGAGCTGTAAAGGGGGTCAGGCCAAAGGCTGTAATTTGGAAGACAGTGAGAAGCCCAGAAGGGGCTCAGTGGCAGAGCAGTGGAGACAGGCTCAGAGGGGGCCCTATGGCAGAGTCAGTGATAACAGATGGCATGTTCATGAGGAGCCTGAATTGAGGGGCTAAAGGAGCTGAGAGAGCTGTCCTGCACTGTAGAAGGGAGAGTCTGTCTACATGCTTCCTGTTCCTTATCTTGAGTTGTATGTTGATCCTGATCCCAAGTTATTCCTGTTATTTCCTTAATAAACCACTTAACTATTAAATATGGCCTATGAGTTGCATTTGCCCACTGTAATGCATTGCTGAATCCAGCAGAGTGCTGTGGAAGGGAAGGCTGGCATCAAATTGATAAAAAGTTTGGAGGGTCGAAGTATGTGTGACCTCTGCCTCATAGCAATCAACTTTAGGCTGATTCCTGGTCATTATCCTCCCTGAAATTATAACGGTTCTGACGCTACTACTACTCTCACTATTTTACAAGTATATTCACAGAATTAGTACCACAATCCAACTTTAGAACATTTTTATCAACACAAAAAGAAAGTTCATGCCCATTTGCACGTCATTCTTTGTTTCTACCCTCAGACCTAGGCAACCACTAATGGACTTTTCTAACTCTATAGATTTGCCCTTTCTGGACATTTCACTAAAAATAAATCATACCATATGTAGTCTATTGTGTGGATTCTTTCACTTAGCACAATGTTCTTGAGGTTCATCCATGTAGTAGCATGTATCACTAGTTTGTTCCTTTTCATTGCTGAATAGTATTCCACTGCATGAATATACCACATTTTGTTTATCCATTCACCAGCTGATGGACATTGGGATTGCTTCTACCTTTTAGCTGTTATGAATGCTGCTGCTTTGAACACTCATGTGCAAGTCTTTGTGTGGAAATATGTCTTCTTTTCTCTTACGTCTCTTATGTAGGTGTTCAGATGTAGAAGTATAATTTATATGGTAAATTTATCTTTTAACTTTTTAAGAAACCTGAGCCAATTTTTTTTTTGTTGTTGTTAAAAATGATACTAAAAATACTACAAAGAAAACTAACAGTCCTTATTTATAAATAGGGCAATGAGAAGAAAGAGCAGAAAGCCAGCAGAGGCCACTAAACTGTGAAAGGTAGGAAGAGCTTCTGAAACGCAAGAAGACCTTTGTTTAGAATTCTGGCCTAAAGTTGTGGCTATTCTGAAACAACTTTTGATCTGCCCAGTCTTCTTTTCTGTTTCTATAACACAGCAGGGTGTCATTGGACCTCCTCTAACTTCACAAGGGAAAGGACAGAGAATTACCATCAACATCAGCCCAAAGCTGATGTCTATGAGGTAGATGTCAACATACCACTCTCTCCAACCATTCTATCAATCTGACACCAGCCGTCCCTCTCAAGGCACCCTCTATTTCTCTGCTGAGTTTGATAATTCATTGCAATGGCCACACAGAACTCAAAGACCATACTCATGGTTATAAGGCTTATTATGTAAGTAACAGGTTACAATGCAGGATCAAAAACAACTTGTGATACAGACTTTCTATCAGGAGAGTTTCTTCTCTGGCCATACTTGCAGGCTTATCTCTTTCACCCAACTCTGCTTGGACTTGGGCCCTTGTGCTTGGCTTCCAGAAGACAGACTCCTCATGATCCCCTCAGAACAGGTCTTTGTCCTTAGCCTGGCCTATATCCTGTTCAGGCCAAGGGTTACAAAGCCTTTTAGCTCAGCTGATAAGTGCCTAGAGGCATCCTACTCTCCCAGCAAGCATCCTGCCTAAAGGTGCTCAGCTTTCTCACTCTGTGGGTTGGCATACCCACTTGTAGCGGTCTCACTTAGTGGGCCAGGAAGCCCACTGAATCATCTCACACTGGTCTCCTGGTTCTACTGTCACTGTTTCTCTGTTGCTGTTTCTCACCATCTCATGCCATCTCCAGTCTTACTGTTTCTGGGGTATGGGAGGTTCTCAGTGCAGAGACCCCAGGTGCAAAGAATGAGCTCCACTTCCACTTCTTTCTGGATGGTAGTGAGGTACCCTCCTCTCCACTCTGGGATTGACTGTTTTTTAAGCTAGAAGGATGGCAAACCTGACCTTTCCCCTTGTTAGGGTTCTATACACCTTATTTGCATTACTAACAATAATGTCCAATTCCCTTGGTGGGTCATAAGCACCTTATTTACATAGTCCTACCTAGTCACTTTGTAGGATAGAAGGGCCATACTATATAATTCACTGTTCCCTCCTTGGCCATAAAATGGCCAGTTATTTTAAAAAGCTCAATGCTCAGATGATTGAGTTCCAAGATGGAAGTGTGGTATCCACTTAGCTACCATGGAAACTTCAGGCAGGTACCATGGACCTAAGCTCCCTCTATCACCCACAACAAAACTGTTCAAGTATTGGAGTTGGAAGACCTAGATTTTAATCTTGGCTCTGCAACCAACTAGTCATGAACTCAGGCAAGTTACTTCAGTTCTTAGGACTCGTATCTTAGTGTAGGTTCTCTCTACAGAAGAAAAACCAGTGAAGCTTATATAGAGAGAAAGAGAGAAATTCATCTCAGGGAAGCTCATACAGTTGTGGAGGCTGCAAGTCCAACTTCATGGGTCAAACATCAAGCTGGAGGCTTTTCCTGACTCACATAGCTGCATGGACTGATGAACCCAAGATCAGCAGGCAGTACAACCAGATGCTGACTTCAATGGCTGACAAATCCAAGATTGGCAGGTAAAATGGTAGATTGTTGGCTCACAGGCTGTGAAGGCAACAATCCCAAGATCAGCAAGCAATACCAGCAGTCCACTTGTTCAGTTCCAAAAACCAGATGATGATAAGCTAGATGCAGAATCCAGATCCAACAGAAAGTCCCAGAATTTTCCCAAGATGTCCATATATATATTGGAAGCATGCCACTCCTCTGAGGAAACTCCCTTTCAACTTATTGGCTGCTCATAGCATATCTCAAGGAGATAATTACCTTCTATCATATCTCATCATGGAAAAGACTACATCACAACTGCTTAAACCACTCAGAATCACGGTCCAGCCAAGTTGACACACAACCTTAACTATTACAGTCTCCATGTGTAAAATTAAGGGATTGAACCCAATAACTTAAGGGTCCTTCCAGCTAAAATTCTATGACTCGATGAAGAATGCTAAGAGCTAGCACAACGGAAATTACTTAAATACTTGAAGAGCAAATTAAAGATACCTGGAACAACAGTTACTAAAAACAGAGGAAACACCCAAACAACAGTATATTTGTACTACACTCCAGTAATATATCAGATAGTGTTTCACTGCTATTCAAATCCATCCTGGAAGAAGTGCAGCCAGAATGCTCCTTGGAAGTGAGAACGGCCAGACTTCGCCCCACCACTTGGATCATGTTGTCAGAAAACACCCGTCCCTGGAGACGGTTATCATGCTTGGTAATACGGAGGTCAGCGAAGAAGGGGAAGATCCTCAATGAGGTAGACTGGCACGGTGGCTGCAATGACAGGCTCAAGCAGAGCAGCACTGTGAGGATGGCGCAGGACTGGGCAGTATTTCATTCTGTTGTACACACAGTCTCTCAAAATCAGAGCCAACTTGATGGAACCTAATAACAACACTACTCTCCAGTCTGACTCCATAACAAATTCTTTCTTCTGCTGCTGTGTGATGTCAAGCATATAGTGTATTAATACATATTTGTGTATTAAGAACTACACAAATAGTAGTCATTAGATGACATGGAATATCCACTTTTAAAAACTGTTTAGAAA